TTTTTTTTTTTTTTTTTTTTTTTTTTTTAGTTTGATCGGATGAAACAAATACCATCCTTTAAAATAAAATACACAAAAGCAGTGTTACAAACAAAGTTTACTTCAGAATAAAATGGCATGCACACTTTTCTGGAATGCACGGCATTGCGGTACTGTGCGTTCCAGTGTGGGCGATCACACTGTGGGTGGGAGGCGCATTTGGGGTGCCATTGAAATGAATGCATGCACCTCCTGCGGTAGAATTTGTCAGGCTGAAACCTGGCAAGCACATGGCACTTAAATAGCTTCAGCCCGGGAATGATGGCTGCCCGTGGCAAGATTCCGCAGATGGCAGCTGAATGTAAATACAGCAGGTAGTGGGCTGGTGCAATAGCCAGCCTGCTATTGGCAGTTTCAAATTGTACTAGCCAATAGTAGGCTGACTGTTGCTCCCGCCCACTGCCCCTGCTGTGCCCTCCTCCCAGCATGGAAGAGTGAGCTAGGGGATCCAACTAATTATGAGAGTAGTTGATAACTGTTCTCATTATTGATTAGTTGGTTGCAGCCCTATGGCTTGTCTTGGCTGGTGTCTTAGGAGGTGAACATTGCGGGGCTTTTTTGCACCCCTGGGCAAAAAAAAAGTGTATTTGGCGCTGGTTCAGCTGTACCTATTTAACGGCTACAAAATGATGTCAAGGTCAGATCTTCTGAATGCCCTCTTGTGTCTTTCTATATTTTAATAAGTTGCTTCAAGCCTTGTGTGTTTTTTATGTTCAATAACTTCTCTCCTAACACAGGAGCTGAACTTTTAGGGAGCATCTGGCTCACCCCTAACAAACGGTAGCGACAACAGAAAAATCTTTCAGTAGGTCTTGTCTTCTAGCATAGATGCAACTGAGACAAACCTTTGTTTGGGGTTGCCACAAATAATTTCAGGCTGTATTGTGAACCTAGTGGGCAATTAGGAAGGTGGCCAGTTCTTACACATGGGGTTTCGTGTACAGGGATGCTATACAGAGTTTATAAGCATCATGCAGGCAAGTGGGAGCTGCATCCTGCTAATGTCAAATTTTACGTTTTAAAGAGTATCTGTTACAGCCGGTTGCTTTGGCGTATGGAAATGCATTTAACATGGAGCTTCCACAGGGTTAGGCCTCTGTCTCCAACAGATGAAAGAACTCCCCGACACACCACTCTGCAAGGGAATCTGTCACTTTGCTTTTATTAGGTGATCTGAGTCATTGGACATCCTCATTCGCTTTATCTATGCTCCTTCTCCACTTTCTACTGCACGAGTTCATCTTGAGCTGTAAGCTCACCTGGGTGGATGACGTCTCTGCCCTGTCCCTCCACATTTGACCGTGCACTTCCCTGGTGATGGGCCACTTGAGCTCCACTACTGTAACATGGGAAGTCACATTCTTTGCCATCCACTCTGAGACAAATAAACATATCTAGGCAGTGTGGGCTCTCAGGGGCACTAGCTTATACCCTGTGTGTAGGAAAGTAGGGGTATGTGCGCTTAGATATTTAACCACAGATATCAGCATCGTACCATTGTGCAGGAAAGCATAACGCAGCGTCAGCATGTGAATGAGACTTAACAGTTATTTTCTTAATCCCGCTTCCCCTCCAGGTTTTAGGAACTCCCACAAGGGAACAAATCCGAGAGATGAATCCAAATTACACAGAATTCAAATTCCCACAAATAAAAGCACATCCCTGGACAAAGGTAAGTTGTGAAACCAAATGCACTGCATTCCAAGTTAAAATGCGAACTGTAGTGTATAATTACACATACACCTTCCATAAGGGGCTGCAGGTTAAATTTTCACCTCGTTGTGCTTTATAAGCTATGGGAACCTTGGTTACATTAAACCACCCTTGACCATTTAGAGCAGAACAGTCTCAGGAGACCAGAGAGGAATAATACATACCTGTTTAATTGGCGGTTTGTGTTCTTTTTCTTTTCAGGTACACCCATGAGGGAAAAGTGAATAAAAAAAGCTTATAGATCAGTCAATAAAATCTCCACAGACAATTTTCCTGTGTTTTCAATATATAACTTGACTCTGTCATGCTAGGTTATCTGTTATCTTGGGGGATGACCTGTGTTGCCCCATAGACATCAATAGCCGCCTCCTTTATGAAATTCCAACCTGACAGGCCATGTTTGCTCAGGCTGTGGCTTTTGTCACATAAGAGTAAATGTGTATATGTATTTAGCAGTTTGCCTCGACTTCCACTTTAAATGCCGTAGTGAAAATAGAGCAGAGCAAGTCAAATAGCAAGTGCCACATCAGAAATGAATCATGTGATCAGTTCAATCATTCAATTCGTATTTGTTCAGAGATATTCTATAGTTTCCATTTATGCATTAAGACTTTTTTTTTTTTTCCCCATGCTATGTTTGCAGGTCTTTAAGCCCCGTACCTCTCCTGAAGCCATCACGTTGTGCAGCCGGCTTTTAGAGTACACCCCAGATACCCGACTTTCCCCACTACAGGCCTGTGCACACTCCTTCTTTGATGAGCTTCGTGACCCTAACACACGCCTACCCAGCGGCAGGGACTTGCCTAACATGTTCAATTTCAGTTCTGTAGGTAAGTTTTGGATAAGTAATACAGTTCTTTTTTTTTTATTTTTTTTTTTTTAGGATTTATGTGCAAGGTCATCTGGGCTCCTTGAGCTATGCTGTTCAGTCCACCACCAGTAATATGATGGCCCACGGTGATGGTGTATGCTGCGGGTCAACCAAATTGGTTAAGTTCATGGATTGGTTGAACTTGTATGCCTGCGAAGACCTCATTAATGGGGGCGAGGATTTCTTTCTGGTTTCTTTTAATCAGATATTGTGTTAGACAAGCGATGTGATTCCTGAATGCCCCATTGCCAATAGTGCCAGCAGTTCTATCCCTGCTTGAGGGACTATTTAATGACGAGTTTTGCACTATTTAATGTTACTGTGAAATTTCAAGTTGTTTTCTTTTCATTTACAGAACTCTCCATTCAGCCCACACTGAACTCCATCCTCATACCCCCCCATGCACAGTTACTTCATGGTAAGTGGCTCTGTGTGGTCGAAACCGGCTGTAAAAGTATTCGGACTGTATCCGGAAAAAAAAAGTACATAGAAAGTGGCAGAATAAAGTTGTCATTTGTCTAAGGTTTACCGCTTGCATACAGCAGGTAGCCAGTGAGAGTCAACACAATCACCCGAACATTAGCCTTCAAGGCCCCGCTCACACCTGATCTCTCAGCAGAGGGAATCCTAATTTCAGTGGCTCCTGTTGAGGTCTAAGTGATCTGTTGCTTGTAGCAAAACGTGTGTAGTTCAAAATGGCCAAAGATTTTCAACTCGGGTGTGAATGGGGCCTTATACTAAAATGCTTTTGATCTTTGGCGCAATATATCAGAATACACTCCCCTCACCACCAGCAGAGATTGCTTCTGCAGATGGGAAATCCAGACACAGGCAACTGATGAATGACCTTTTTATTGGAAAGTTCACATTTGTTTATCATTTTTAATTCTATAAACCTGTACACTATAGAAAAACAAACTAATGTTAAAATTGGCTTCTACTGTTAGTTTCTCTTAGGAATGTGACAATAGCAGCCTCGGGGCAGGATGGCCGCTGCATTGATGGGCGATGGTCATTCTGGGAGGGTTCTAGTGTTTTCCAGCTTTAGTGAAAACTTGTCTTTAATGGAGGACTCAAGGCTGATCCAAAGCACAGCCGTGCGACTTCCCACCGCTAAAATCTTGGAATGAAGTCATCTTCTCTCATGTGTTTCATGCATTAGAGTGCTCGTAGGGGTTGCTGGGATTTAGTTACCCAGCAGCCCTGTCAACCTGCATTCCAGAGGGAGAGGCAGCATGCTCTGGAGATGGGCAATACCACACCCAGGATTTGATATCAAAGGTTACTTACTACTAGTCATTGCTTAGCAGGGAAGTGGACAGAGTAGCTCAGTGCCCTTCTCTTCTGCACTGCCAAGAAATGACCTTGCCACTTGGACTACAATGTCTTGTGGTCCTCAGAAGGCAGTGAGATGACACGTGGCACAAATCCAGTCACCCTTGCTTGTGTGCCTCCTGGTCCACAGATGCCATGGGATAAAGTGATGCACGAACTATTGATGCTATATAAATCCTGTAGAATAGCGGTTTTTGTAGAGTGCAAACTAGGTTAAAACATGGAGAACTTTACTGCATTGGAGACCACAAATACAGTGAAAGAATGACTGACCCGTCCGAAGTCTTTAATTCTCCCCAGGATAAATGCAACCTATATTTTTTGGCTACCCTTTTGGATGGTGTGTGTGCCCGTATGGGTATCGGGTGGTGTTGGTGATCCTTGGGCCAATAGAGGGAAGACTTACCCAGTACACGGCAATAACAGCCTGGCGGGTTTTATACGCTGCCCCATAAAGTCTTCTGTTTTACTTATTTGCACTTATATGGAATTAACATTAATTAATTTTTTTCCCAGCCATTTCATGAGCTCCAAATCTCAGTAACTGCTGGCATGCTGTTTCCAAGTTCATGACGGCTGCATTACTAGGTAGCTGCCTTGCCTGTAGGCTGTCTCTTTATAAATGGCGGTAAAAGATGTTGGCGATTTTCATTCGAATTGGACGTTTTGTAGACAAGTGGTTCTAATTTCTGGGGAAATGGAGACAGCCTATTATGAAGGCAGCTGCCGCTTAACTTACCTGGTCATTTGTATGTGTAATATAATTGTGCGGTGATCTCTCTGTCAACAGGGAGGGATCCGACGCATGTACAGAAGGCAGCTGTTTCATAGCCAGGGTCGACTCAGGTAATCCCATTTTTATGGACTTTGCTGTAATGATGCGGAGAGCCCAGGAAGGAAAGCTCCTTGGATGACAAACCGTGTATTACAAAGTTACTTATTGTGCGGTTAGAAAAGTTCACTGAATCTGGAAAGCTCTTCGGTGGTGTTTGACTTGTAGACCAAAGGAGAGTAATCCAAAGGTTAGGTACAGCGCTAGGAAGATTTTACAGGCAGGGAGCAGGCGGTAAGCGAATCTTGTTTTAAAAGTATGCATTGCATGTTAAAACCATTAAAGTGTCTGTCTGGGCAAAATGAAAACATACTGTAGGTCTCTGTTCATGCCCATTTCTCCATGTTTTACCCCTGTAAACACACTGCAAGTGCAGAAAATACCTGTGTATCATGTCAGAAATTCGGTGTGTGCCTAGCTTGTCTGGGCTGACAACTCTGCACTGAAGCAGTGTTGTCAGCCCTTTGCTGGACGACTGAAGCCTCACTCTCTCTATCTTCCTACATAAGGGCACTGTGCTTTGTGGTCCAGCATGGGAGCGCTTGGGCAGAGGTGACAACACTGCTTGGGAGTTCAGTGGCAGTGTTGTCGGCTCACTACAGAAAGTTTGGAGCACACTTGAATTTTTATTTTTGTACTTGCAGCTTTCTTTAAAATAAAGTACTAATTCCGCTATGATTGCTCTCTTAAAGACGTGCACTTTAAGGCCTCATTCACACGAGAAACGGTCAGATCTTACAACCTCGTGCTGCGTGCACTGCCGTATCGGGCAGCTCCCGTGTGATTAGGACGCAGCCCCCGTCCTTCTCTATAATACTACGCGGCCCTACACTCACCCGCCCTGCACGTCCGTGATGGTGTCCGTACTCGTACACTGACGGGATGGATCCTGTCTGTGTCCGAGCTGGGACACCCGCACCCGTATGGACGTGTAGGGTGGAGTACGGCTGCATAGTATTAGAGGACAGGGGCTGCGTCCTAATCACGCGAAGCACCTGTCCTTCCTGGGCGCTGCCCGATACAGCTGTGCACGCAGCACAGAGCTGTACGTGCCGGCCGATCCTCGTGTGAATGAGGCCTTACCCAACTACAGCAGCTACCTAGAGGTGCCTGCCATACTTTCAGATGCCTGCTTCTGAACCTACTGAATCATGTGCTTTGTCTCTTATTCTGATGGCGTTGATGACCAGTCTGCCTCCCACGGTTTCCTGTTCACTGTCGGTCGTAGATGAGCCAGTAGGAAAGCGTCAGAGGGAGCGAGTCAGCCTTTAACACTACCAGAAGTATCAAGTTTGCATAGGAGAGCGATTTTGGATTTTTAAATGCTTTCATGTACAACTCCAGAAGTGTATATAATGTTTTTTAATTCTTTCATTAGGTGAGGCAAGACCTGGATCAGAGCGACTCCAAACCAGTGACGTAGCAGAGCTGAATAACTCATGAGGAGTACTCTTCCACCTCCACCCCCCTCCCCGTCTCATCCGTTATCCTCTCACTTCCTCATCCCAGCTGACACTTGACACTACTGGTGTACAAGAGGCATATGGCATTATGGGGATGGTCCTGGTTTATCTTCATCTTCACCTCAGCACTGACTTTTGATGATCAGCAGCAGTTTGATCATCCACTACTGGGTTTCGACACCCCACTCAAATTTATCATTCGGAAGTCAGGGGTCCCTTTTAAACTGCACAGAAGCCCAATGCCTGAAAAGCTGTAAAACGCTGCTTTGGACACCTTTTAAAACACTGGTGACCTTTTGGGCATCTCGCGAATGTCAATCCTTTTGGCTTTGTCTTGTGGTTGCTCCTGGCCAACTTTGATCATGTTGTCAAGTGTTCAGTAGTTGTTTCAAAGTAGGCAGAGGAACAAAGCATATATTTTTTTTTTTTTTCTTTTTTTTTTTTCTTTTATTACAGTTGTCCTAAAATTTATCCTTTTTGTCCCTTGGTGTATGTACAACACTGTCCCCCTTAATCACCCCCCTGGTTAATATAAACAGTGCTTCTCGAATGTAGAGCTGTAGGCATCACACTATGTTCAGTGGCTATCTGAAGGTCCATTGCAGGCTGTCTGACATGGCAACCATAGGATAAGGAGTCAGTATAGGCCGACCAGAGCTCATGGTACAATGGATGATCTGCTCTAGAATGTTATATAGCACCATGTATTAATGCAGCTACCTCTGTGCCAATGGCTCTAGTTTTCCGCTACTGCGTCCTGTGTTCCTCAACGGCTTTTACTTTTTTAATGACGTAACTTAGAAACTGTTCTTAGGACTCTGGGCCCCATATGTAAACTTGGCCCCATTATGTACACTTATCTGATAGAACAGCCAATCAAACTCTCCCTTTCATATTACCTGTGCAGTTCTGGAGAATCTGGTGACTACTCAAGTTCTTCAGACTGTATGCACCTCATTTATGTAAGTGACTAAGGAAAGAACTGACTTAGGCACATTGTTCTCCCTCAGCAACCATTTAGATTCTTCAGTTCATTCTCTCATACTGCAGGTGGAGACTGCAGCCAGTGTAGAGCAGCACAGACTGTGAAGAATGTTCCGAGACCTTTATTATAAATGAGGCCCCTATTTGCTCATTATGCTTTCAGCATTTTGTAGTTTTGGCATTGTGTGCCGCACCATGTACAGCAGGATGTGGCCTTTGTGATCTCAACTAGTCTTTGTGGAGTTTTGGTGTATATTATGGGTGGGGGTTGTAATCGAGCCTGTGTTCTTAGAAGTGCTTACACTGCTCTACATTCTCTTACAGAGCTTTTGAAAGGTTTTCCCTCCTCATTTTGTCTCTACCGCTTAAGTTGCCTCTTGAAAACGTTTCAGCCCTTTCCACGGTGATATTGTCGGGCCTCTTCTGTCTATTTTAATGCCTGACCCTACTGATGGGCGAGGCAGACAGTCCACCAAGCTAAGAGTTGCACAGCAGATAGTTTTACCATTGGAACTGTGAAGAGGAAGGTCCAACGTTCAAAACTAGGGGATTCTACTGTGCAATCTGCATCACAATTTGCAAAAGCAGCTCAAAGATAATGTGAAAACGCTTATTACTGGGCCGCCCTTGGTTTATTGAGCCCTTGGGAAGGACTTGTCATTTTACCATTAGAGGGTCCTTTTTAGGCTTCACTGTGTCTAGAAAGAACGGGAGCCGCCATTGCTGAATTGTTTACCTGGGGCTCTTTCCTCCATCAAGCTGCCTCATTGATTTGGACAAGTGCATGTAAGTGGCGTGACACTTGTCATATGCACATGCTTGCTCCCGCTCAGTGACTTAAGTAGTACATGCGTCCTAAAAAAAAAGTTGGATTGGCAGTGGTCGTTCCCTTTTTTTCTCTCCTGATAGGTTCCCTTTTAAAAGTACCTTTTTTTTTTCTTTGGCCATGCACTGGCCACCCCAACAGCATGTATTTGCCAATTCTTCCTCTTTTATTGCTGCTGGGACCGGGGAAAAGTCCACGTAAGCTCCAACAGTCTTGTCCAAGCTTGCGCAGGCCGTGGACTCCTTCCCTTCCATGTGACAGCACTGTGCAATCATGAAGCGCTAGTATGGTCACATGAGAAAAACACGCGTTCACCCATGACCTGGTTTTCATGTTATTTCACTTGGCTTTCAGTGGCTGTGTGGAGTAAAGGAAGGGCCAGTATATTTTGCTAGTGAAGGAAGGAGTTAAATTATGTTTTCACTATGCTATGCGTGGACAAAGCTGGATGAAGGGCCAACTTGAAAACAATCTTTGAAACGGTTAGTGTAGCTTTTTTTTCTTTCATTTTATAGTAGGGATGCGCCAATACTGGTCTCAGTGCCGATGCAGAGTATTTGGGTGAGTACTTGTATTCGCCCAAAAGCTCAGACGCCTAGCCCAATACTAGTATCAGGAAGCCGGGCAGCGAGCCATTACACTCTGCCCGGCGTCCTGATTGGCTGGGAAGCCGGCTCCATGCTCTCTCGTCGCCTCGCCTGGCTTTTTGATTGGCCGGGAAGCCGTCTCCATGCTCCCTCGTCATGAGGTGACAAGGGAGCCGTAATGACACGGCGCCTGGCTTCCTGATTGGCCAGAAAGCCGGCTCCATGCTTTCTCGTCGCCTAGTGACGAGAAGCATGGGGATGGCTTCCCTGCTAATCGGGCAGCCGGGTGTTGTCTTAACACGCCGCCTGGCTTCCTTAATGGGACTTCGAGTATCGGTATTTGGTATCGGCGAGTACAGAAAAAAATATCTTTACTGGTACTCGATATCGAAATACCGGTATGGATGCATCCCTAATGTTATAGTTCCAAAAGAAGTGGACAACTATAGAATTTTTAAGCTACGAGTCCAAGAGCACCCTGTCAGGGACTAGACAAGTCCAAGAGCACCCTGTTTTCTAGTGCAGTTCAAGAACACCCTTTTGGGGTCTAGCTAGTTGTAGTTGGTCACATGGCCTTGTTCTACAATGTTGAAGTTGTGTTTTTGTTGCTTATCCAAGCAGCTTCTTCCATTTGCATCTAAATGTCTTCAGCATTATAGAACAAGCCCATGTGACCAACTACTACTAGCTATACCATGACTTGTATATAGTGAACTTTCACAGACTGCTGTCAGGGTTGTTTTGTGTACCAGAACCTTAAATCTAGTTTTCCTGCAGTTCCTCCTACAATAGGAATATTGTCATAAACAGTAATGCCTGGTCACATTTTTCTTTTCTTCCAGTCAGTGACATGGCTGCCGTCACATTTATCCTTCAGTAACCATGTTTTTCGCTCACTTCTGTCTTCATCCACTCGAATACCAGTGTCTGCATCACTGCAAAAACCGTTGATGTGTTCATATCCGGTCCAAGCTGGCAGCACAATCTGAACTCCCAAATGGGCGGATACACTAATTGTTCTCACAGGCAGGGACATGGCAGGAATGTTTTTTACCCATCTGCGTGAATGTTGTGCTAATTAAGGATGGATATCGTCCTTCACATTCTGCATAGCGGCAGCCATTGGTGTACGCTGGGCTTTAGCCGATTATATTATATTTTTAAAGGTAACTTGTTCCAAATTCTATGTAGGTTACCATTGCTGGCTTCAGCAAATACTCGCGGTTTGGCTTCAATACTATACTGCAAGTGAGTCTCCTCCTGATCTGTATACTTTTTGTGGGTCAGCAATTTGTGTATTGAAGCCACAGTATGGTAGTTGGGCATTTTTAGAAGTCATCCTTGGCAGCCTCCATATTATTTTTAATGACCCCTCAGTGCAGAATTTTAAAACGAATGTAGCTTAAGTTGCAGAATTAATACCCTCTGTTCCTGGCTTGGGCTTTGTAGATTTTAGGGGTGGCATTGCCAAAAGCAACCGGTCAGATTACACCTTTTGGGTCAGAAGATAATCTCAGAAGTTGAGGGGTTGGCTATTCCATTTTAATCCACTTTTTTTTAAAGAATGAAACTGTTTTATTGTTTTTAGGTTCCTTTTACTTGGGATGAAATTGAAGCTGTGAGAAGCCCTGGTAGTGCCATAAGCTCTGGGGTCTCTGCAGTTATAATCTATACGCTGAAATTTGTGTTGGTGATTGTTCTAAGCTGTTTGTAGGTGGACATTGTGCACCTTTTTGTAGGCCAAGCTTTGGGACTATATCTTCTACTTTTCAGTTTTAAGGCCTGAAAAAAGTTTCAGAAACGCCAGGGGCTCATTTTTCAAGTATCTGATGAAGAACGGTGTTGCTTGGCAGCAGCCAATCAGATGCTGCCTTTGCAGTACGTCCTAGGGCAGCATGATATTTTTGTACTTCGTGGTCCTGACAAAGGAGCGGCTCTTCTGAACACATTGTGTAAGAGGAAAAGGGGCCTCAATTATTGAGACAATGCAGCTAGCTTGGGGGATGGGGGGGGGGGATCGGTCTGCTTCCGGTCGGAGTACCACAGACCAGGGTGTTTTCATGAATGAGGACAACTTTGGTCCGTGGCTGTTTGTCAATTTGATAACTGACCATGGACTTTCGTCAGTCTGGCTTCTTTGTTCTGGACCATGTAAAAGTATTCCTGGGAATATTTCAGATTTACATGCCAGCTAAACAAGTCAACCATGAATTCTATGTTGGCGGTATACTCCCCAAGACAGGGCCTCTTTATGAGTGACTAAAACTGATTGTACTTCCCTTGGCAACTTTTCTTTTTATTCTCCCAAACTGCACTGGGTGAATGAAAGGGATATGGAGGGGAAAGTCATTGTTCAAAGACTCAGTACCGTTGCACAGTCCTCTTCCTGTTACTCATCCCGTAGGCTGCACTCGCTGCGTTATTGGTGTTTTATAGATTTGAATAGCTATGTTGTCTTTCTCTAGCTCTGACACAGGCTAATTCAGTAAGGCTGCTCGGTAGTGGCAATTAACCCATTGGATTCCAGTTTCTTGTAAGTCTCGTGATTTGAGAACTAGGATTGTGTTCCTTAAAGTGGAGTTCCACTTCTCCAGTCTAATTTGAGAGGCCCCCCCTTCCCCCCTCTATGTTCCCATTTACACAGCATACCTAAAAATGTTGAAACAATTTCTTACCCTTTCTAGATCTTTGAAGCAGGCTTTTGGACAGACTACTTTTTGTCCCTCTCCCATTTTCACTTGGAAATTACTCAGTGGAGAGGGAGAGAAAAATTAACATGCAAGGCCTTGTGATCTTTAACCCTTTGTTAAGACAGTGTTCAAATTTAGTTTACAACCGACATCTGCCAGCACTGTGCAGACAGGGTTAATTATGGCAAACATGACTCTCCCTCAACATTACATAGAAGGGGGAAGACTTTTGGAGTTTTCAGAAAAGAGCTAATAAAGGTAAGCCGCATTTTATTTGTGCGCTTTAAATGGGAACATGTAACAAATCTAAAGTAGGTTTGTTTTCCAAGAAGAGCCGCAC